AAAAAAACCTCCCCCCCCCCCCAACCCCAACCCCCACCCCATTTTACTTGTAAAGAAATATTTGGCTGTTACTTGCTGGGTTGGGTCTGACAAATGGCAGTCCATAACAAAACAAATAAATCAAAGGCCAATTCCTCCAAAGAATACAAAGCCCATGATTCAGATATGGGCTTTCTGAGGAGTTTCAAACTGTTTAGTATTGACAGGAGCAGGAAGGTTGGAAGGGAATCATATTATCATTTCAAAATGGCTTTTGAAAATTTCAACAAGAACCGTGACAAATTGAAAGAAGGTCACAAGAGGGCTACCAATCTCAAAAATCAAGCCCTTTCAAGAATGGTTGAAGGATCTGGATATGTCCAGTTTACAAAGAGGCATGATAGCAGCCTTCAAGAATCTGAAGAACCATCCCATAGGAATAGGCTTGTTTTCTATTATGACTAGAACTATGGATGAAAATTGCAAGGGAATTGGATTAGACTAGAGATCAGGAGGAACGTTCCCACTGTAGGCCAATAAAAGTGTACTCCACTCCTCTACTCACAGTAGAATCCCTTACACCACCAGGCTTGAAACTTTGGGCTTGGTCAATCTGGAACTGTGCCGATTGCGGTTAGCATAGTACACAAATTTGTCTGCTATTAACGTCTTGCCTGTCAACAACTTCTTCGGCTTTAACCACAATAATACACGGGCAAACAATCAATGCAAACTCAAGGTAAACCACCTCAACCTCGATTGCAGAAAATACGACTTCAGCAACAGAGTGGTCAATGCCTGGAATGCTCTACTCGACTCCATTGTTACAGTCTCAAACCCCCACAGCTTCAACCTCAAACTGTCTACCGTGGACCTCACCCCATTCTTAAGAAGTCCGTAAAGGGGGGCGTGCATAAGCGCACCAGCGTGCCTCCCCATCTCTCTCTCACTGTCCCTATTTATCTGTATTTCCTTCCTTTGTTCATGTTTATGTTCATACCTATATTGTTATCTTGCACATGTTTGACAAACAAACAAACAAATAAATAAATTGCCATATAAAGTGGCCATCATTATAGGTCTTTTAACAGAGTTTGGATGAGCATTAGATCTCGCAGTGAGTAGAGGATTCAACTGGATCAGTGTTTCCTCTTCATGGCAGTGGAATTCTGTGATTTGAAGTCCATACCCCTGGAAATTTTCATAGTTGGAAACTCAAACTCTATATTTCTATCATGGCGAGATTCATACAAGTACAGTTTGGCAACTATAGTCTTAGCTTTAGAATACCTGAAGTGTATTTATGTATGTATTTATAAACTCATTAAGGCATGCAATGCTGCTATTCAACAAAATTACATTTTTCCCCCTAAAGATAATTTCATCTGTGCGTGGGGGGGGGGGGAGTCTCCCAATTGCACTCCTGGGATTTTTAAATCCTTCTTCTGAATACTTGGAATGTCACTTAGGTTTATCCTGGGCTTTTTTAAATAAGCTGAGGGAAGTATTTGCCAAGCAGTAATGTGGGTAAGCCTTGGTTTGCTCAGAGGTGGGCGGCATATGAATTAACTGAGCGGCATATGAATTAACAACCAGTTTGCCCAGCACCGAAAATGTGAGCTGCACGCCATCTGTGCGTGCCCCCGGACTTCTGCGCATGCACTTTGCTCATGCACGCATGTGTGTGGCATTAAAAACAAGGCTAAATAGGACAGCATAGCTACAGGAGGAAGGGGGGCAGGGGCGGGGCGGGTCCACCCGCAAGTTCCAAGTACTAGTTTGCCTGAACCGGCCTGAACCGGCAGCAGCCCACCACTGGATAAGCTTATGTTGTTCAAAGAGAAACTGAAAATAATGCTAAAACAGAACAAACAAATGGAAGAATCTTAGATGTTACTTCAGTGGTGGGAAATTGAGAGACCGCTGCTGCCAATTACCTCCCAAAGACCCATTAGATCGCACAGGGTCGGCCTCCTCCGGGTTCCATCC